AACCTTATATTGGAACCTCAGACTTGATATTGATACCATCAGTGGTGGATGTTTGTGGGATTAATAGTGTTAGTAGGGTTGTGTTTTCAAATGCTGGAGCTGCTTTTTCTGGAATGGTGGTTGGGAGCTTGGCGCAGTCAAGAGATCTCAAAACTAGTAAGCAAAAATGTACTGTTGGTATGACCATGTTTGGGGTGACAACTCCATGTGTAAATGCTGTGAAAGAAAGATTGGAAAAAGAAGGTTATGAGACCTTGGTTTTCCATGCCACTGGAGTAGGGGGCAGTGCTATGGAGTTTTTAGTTAAAGAGGGATTCATACAGGTATTTTAAGCTACAAATTTTTCATTTTGATCAGAATACATGTTTTGTATTAAGTCATGGAGCTGTTGTTTTAGTATCTGGTTAATTTAAGCAAACTTGCACAAGAACAGCTCTTATGTTGCTTTGACTTTCTTAATATGATTGTAAAGCTGCAATTTCAAATTTAAATTAGATGCTGGATCAAACGAATATGATTTATATGACCCTTTTGAATTGTTCTTGTCCTTCTCAGAAACAACTTAAGTTGACAAATAGTTACTAGAGTAGGGTGACCAGAGGAAAATCTGATAATATCAGGTAAAGATGTATGCTGCAATTTTCCTTATAATTTTTCCCGATATAGCTCCTTCAAGCTAATTAAATCTAAAAATAACTTATGTTTGAATTTCATCTTTACTTTTATATTCTAGGAACCTTGATATTTAATTAAGTATTTAGTATTGAAAACTCTTGTATCTTTCTAACGCCTATCATGAAACAAGTTTGGCTATCTAGTATTTACTTTTGGATGAGTAAAAAATGCATTGATAAATATCTAGAAGGGGGACCATCCCAAACACAAAAGGCATACAGATACATACAGCACCCTGACAAACTAAAATTAGTGAAGAAAAATATACACCAGCGGCAGAGATAGAAGGAATTTAAAATATTGTGAGAAGTACTAGGAATATGGACTCTGGAGACTTCTGACTGGTAACAACCTTTTGGGTTAAAAGATATCACGGTTAATTTGTTTGTTCATGTTTAATTCCCTGTCTTATTATATTGCTTACCCACTTAGAAAAACCTTTCATATACTCACGATTATTTGGTATGTGAGATCTCTGGCCTAAAACTTCTCCTGAGGTTTGGTCTGAGTCAAGCTGGTGTGCCGGTTAATTTGATTTCACTGTTTCTGAATAATCTGGATTTGATTCACAAAGGGAGTACTGGACGTTACAACAACAGAGGTTGCAGATTATGTAGTTGGAGGTGTCATGGCTTGTGACAGTTCCCGATTTGATGCCATCATAGAGAAGAAGATTCCTTTAGTTCTGAGTGTGGGTGCCTTGGATATGGTGAACTTTGGAGCTAAAGATACCATACCTTCAAACTTTCAAGAAAGGAAGATTCATGTACATAATGAACAGGTAATAAGTCCTTAATCCTGTTATGTCTCTTCTTGTCATTGGTATGGTATTCGTTGTGTATGTTTTTGGTTTTCTCTGATTGAAATGGTCAGCTGGATTGATTTCCGATTTTTGTTTTTCTGTGGTGGACAATCTTACAGATAGATCAGGTAGTCTGCCAAATGTATTGTTCATGTAATGCTTGTCATTTGCAGGTTTCAATTATGCGGACCACAATGGATGAGAACAAGAAATTTGCTGCCTTTATTGCAAATAAATTGAACAAATCATCTTCAAAGATCCGTCTTTGCTTGCCCCAAAATGGTATCTCAGCTTTGGATGCAATAGGGCAGCCCTTTTATGATGCAGAGGCAACTGGTACACTAATAAGTGAGCTACAGAAGCTTATTGAGGCAAATGAAGATCGCCAGGTACCCATTGCTTATCTAATATTGTGGCACAATTCCAACCTTCTTTATTGTAGTACGTTTTAGGTTTTTCATGATTTTGTCTTTTTCCATTTCCATGGCCTTTGTAAATTTAACGTTGTGTGTATGAGTAGGTTAAGGTGTATCCTTATCATATCAATGACCCTGAGTTTGCGGAGGCTTTGGTTGATGCATTTTTAGAGATTAGTGGGAAGAATCCTATGGATTCCAATTCTCTTCAAAATATTCTTTGTGAACCAAGTCAAGGCCTTCATGAGAATTCTGTATCTAACATAAATATATTAAGCCATGGGATGATAAGCTACAGCCCAAGCAACTTCCCTGATGCAAGGCCAGGTTGTAGTTTGTACTCTTTTCTATTATAGTGATATTGCTTCCCTTGTAGAATTTATTGTTATATAGGAAAGTATACAATCTTACACTTAATGTGAAACTGGTATGTTTCTTCTCAAATATATATTTGTTCATTAGTAGCTCTTAAAAATTTTAGGATCATATTCAGAACATTTGAGGGATGCATTTATAATAATTTAATGCTCAAGGTTTTTTCAGATCATTATAGTTTAATATGATTCAAATATATGTTGGTCCTGAGATAAAAAAGAAAGAATAGAAACAACATAAATTCTTTTCAATTATGGAATCAGATGGTGGATATCACAGTGGACAAATTCCTAACCAGTAATGAACTGTATATGTAACAGAAACTTTACAAAGAACTCAGGCAATATTGCTAAAACTGAGAGATCAAATAGATAAAGGATTTCCCATAATCGGGGCTGGTGCTGGGACTGGAATATCAGCAAAGTTTGAGGAAGCTGGTGGAGTTGATCTAATAGTGCTGTATAACTCGGGGCGCTTTCGCATGGCAGGAAGGGGTTCCTTAGCAGGCCTGTTGCCTTTTGCTGATGCAAATGCAGTGGTACTTGAAATGGCCAATGAAGTTTTGCCTGTAAGTTTCCAGTGCTCAGAAAACTGTGCTTCTGTTCACATGCACATACAGATTTGAATATTGAATACTTTGAAGAATTATAGTGTTTATGCTCCAGCAGTTTTCCATTTTTTCTTTTTCTGATTGTCTGAGGTGATGATGTGCTCTTTTTAGATTTCAAAACCTAGTCAAGCTTGCTGTAGTACTGTTTGATGATGAAGATATATACTGAATGACTAGCATCCAGTACTAAATCTAAACTTAGTTAAGTTAAAAATGGAATGATTTCATAACTGTTGTTTTATCTTTAAAGCTCTTCCTGCCTTCCATTTCATACTTTCTTCAACTTGTCTATTTTGATTTTTCTTTTCTTTTAGTAATTTTTAACACAAGAGATGCAAGTTCAGGTTCAATTTATATTTCCTTGTCGAACATTTCTGATTAATGTACGAGTTACAACAATTTTTAGGTGGTAAAGGAGGCACCGGTTCTTGCTGGAGTATGTGGAACTGATCCTTTTCGCCGAATGGATTACTTCTTAAAGCAGTTGGAGTCAATTGGGTTCTTTGGGGTGCAAAATTTTCCAACTGTTGGGCTCTTTGATGGCAATTTTAGACAAAATCTGGAAGAGACAGGAATGGGATATGAGTATGTTGTATATAAAATATATACATTTTTCCCATTGTTGTTATAATTTAGTTAATCATGCCTCTTATAGATGTTATTTTACCTCCCTTGATGATCAGCTTAGAGGTTGACATGATTGCAAAAGCACATAAAATGGGTCTCCTGACTACCCCATATGCTTTTAACTGTGATGAAGCTGTGAAGATGGCAAAAGCTGGTGCCGATATCATAGTGGCTCATATGGGGCTCACCACATCTGGGTCTATAGGTGCAAAAACAGCTGTCTCATTGGAGGAAAGTGTAACCTGTGTTCAAGCTATTGCTGATGCTGCACTCAATATTAATCACGATGTTATTGTTCTCTGCCATGGAGGTACATGTTCAAAGCTTTCTGTCTGCTGTAATTACATTCTGTGATTGTCCTTATTTCTGATTTCTGAATTTAGTAATACGATTCATTGAACGTTGGTTTATGACTTTATGAAAACTTAATCTCCTAAATCCATATATTTTATCATTCAGTGGACCAATCCATAGTTGGCTGATACATCAGTATAGATTAGAGAAATATAAACTGTTCGTTTCTTAACTTCGAAATTCTCTCTTAGGTGCTCTTATTTTTTGACTTGCATTTTATCTATAATCTACTAAAAATTTCAACCTGCCTTTCATCTCCTGTGACATTCTTGTGGGCAGTTTCGATTGTAGTTTCCTGTTATTTTCTTTATAATTTTATTATATTTTCTTCTACTTTTTTGTACTCTGATTACCACAACATTCAAATTAAGTAGAATTTTTGAGATTGAAGAGTATTATTAATACAAAATTTTCTGGAGCAAACTACAGGTCCTATATCAGGTCCTGGGGAAGCAGAATACGTATTGAAGAGAACCAAGGGAGTTCATGGTTTTTATGGTGCGTCAAGTATGGAGAGGCTACCAGTTGAGCAGGCTATAACAAACACAATGCGGCATTATAAATCAATTTCTATGAAGTGAATTTTCATGCCAGTACTTCATGAAGCGGGTTGATTTGCATATGCTTATCATCATTTCTAATTTCATTGCTTGTTCTTTACAACCTTTAAAGTGAAGAAACTAATAAATTTTACGGTTATGATGTTTGAGGATACCATTGCTGCACCTTTGTGTAAATTTGATACTGAGAATTTTATGGCATCAGTTTATGTGCTTGATAAGTAACTACGTTTGGCACAGTTTATTTGTGAATGATTCTGGTTGATTTTGACAGGGTTCTCCCTTCTTTCTTGTTTGGCAATTGATAGGAACCTGGGCACTTTCAACTGACACACCCAAACAGAATGATGAACTCACCGCAATCCCAGACTACTTAGCCCTTATATTCTTTTTGTAAATATGAGTTCGGGTCTCATCAGCAATTTAATTCGTATCACGACACCATATATGAGTCGAGCATCCTTGTATGTCAGCTCAAGGACATGTATGCCCATGGATGCAACTCTTTGTGCTTAATTTATTTTTCTTGAAATTGTAGAAAGTAATAAGCAAACATTGCTACTCACAAGAGTAACACCTTGTACTTTCAACAATTTACACCAAATCTCTTCATTGTCATTCCAAAATTAAGTACTCTCAAGCATACATCTGAACCCATGATAGAATTACTACAGTGGGGACCTGATTGTATCTTCATTTCGATTTTCTTTTCTTCAGTTGTTAAAAAAGCCATTACAAATGTCCCCGGCCAACAGCAGCACTACACAGAGATCTTAACCATCCCTTCTTATTTTATATTGTTTAACTGTTCCAGGGCTTTAAGGTAATGGGACAGCCGCTCCTGAGTCGAGGTATATGTGCCTTCTTCTCTAGACGAAGATCTGGATCATCAACGGTCCACCTACAGATACAGGGGATTGAAGCAATTGAGATACCATCATAGATTTAGGATGAATTTTGGTTTAGTAGGAAGTTACTCACGTATATCCACTAGTCAGCCGATGTAAAAACACCAACATTGTTACTTTGGCCATATTCATTCCCAAGCACGTCCTAGCTCCTGACCCAAATGGTATAAAGCTGTAGGGCTTCTGAATTTCCTGGAAACAATAATCGTGAATGGATAATATGAATACCACAGAGAAACAAACAGAGTGAGTTAGTAAGCTAGTTACTTCAAATCTTGAGGGGTTGAATTGCATAGGGTCCTTGTACAAAGTTGGGTCATAATGTATACAAGTTGCGTCAATGTTAACATGCCATCCCTTCCTTATGTTGAAACCTGTAATTACCACATAAGCAGAACAGAACAAACAATAGGCCTTTGCGTTAGAAGAAAATTACACAGTGCTTTATCATGTTTAGGTTATCTTGAAGAGAGGAAGAATTTCAATTAGAGAGACTTGCCTTCAATAGTGCAGTCATTAAGTGCAACACGAGGAAACCACAACAAGACATTTGACATTCTTAGAGTTTCTTTGACAACCTGGACATTGCAGAAGGTGAGAATATATTATAATCTCATTCAAAATAAGCATACATTTATATATTAATTTGTCTTTGAGCAAGTAAAATTGAAAGATTATTCTTACATAAAAACTAGTCAGTTTAGACTTTAGATTTACCTTCAAGCCGTATGACATGCTGCTATTAACATCTTCAATGGTGAGGGAGGCTCCATCTGACTTGCTTTTGCTTATTGACAGTTGTTCTTCCTGTAAGTTCATATTATTCAAATGAATAATTGACTAAGCAGTACTTTCTTCTACTAAGATATTTACCAAATAAGCAACTAATTTGGTTTTATCATTTTACTGTGTTAAAATTAAGAATTTACGTTAACTATTATTTCCTCTATATTAATAATCGAAAAGCTTTTGTCGAGTTTCCTATAAGATGGAAGAAGCAACGTCCCTTAACTGTGAACTATTGTGGGAGAAATCTCACCCTTAGCCTGTCCTGGACTTCTCTGTTATCGTCGAGATATTTGACACTCCACATCATAGCAGCTGCAGTGGTGGTCTGCCCAGCAATTATCAATGTTAATAAGTTATCCAGGATTTCTTGGTCGCTCAACTTTTCATCTGATGGATAAGATTCTCTCTCCAACATTTTCTGTAGAAAATCCTGAGGACACTCCACTCCTTTCCGTCTTCTGCCAATCATCTCTGTAAAGGTTTTCATGAGCCTTTTTCGTGCCTGTTTTAACCATTATTCACTTAAGTATATGAAAGACACACAAAAGTAAAATAAAAATAAAACTATTCAGCCTTACCTTTAGGCCCCTGTAGTACCGGGTGCCAGGGATCATGATGGGAAATGATAGCATGGCATCGGAAACTGCAGTGCAATCTTTTTCAATTTGTTGAAGCAAAGACTCATCGGTCACGCTCATCAACATGTTGCACATTGCATCAAAGGTTATCTGCATGTCACCACATTTTCAAAGAGATTAGTCATTGTTATGTGCATCTTATTTCCTGGACTGTGCTCGTACATTGTGGCAAATATATGGTATTATCATCGATCCTAAACCAAAAAAAAAAACGACAAATTCTCAAGTGAGAATTGTGTTAACCTTCATGCCAAATTTAAGTACGGAAAAGCTTTTCCCGGATTTTTCTAATGTCTTTAATCTCTCAGAGAGCATTTTGTCGAAATTCTTAACAAATTTGGATAAAGAATTCATGGAGAAAGGATCAGATAGTAGACGCCTGATTCTCTTGTGGCTTTCATGCGTTACACATAGCAAACTCTTCTCTCCAACAGCATCCGCCATTGACTTCACGTATCCCTTGTTGAATTTCACAAAATCATTTGCAAAAATAGTTCTTGCCCCCTCTGTACTAGGAGCAAACACATGAATCTTGCCCAGCAATCTTGTCTTGAACCAGTTACCATGCCTGATTTCATCACAATCATCAATTTGTAATCTTCTTATATTAGATGAATGCCAAACTAATTTATATTATCCATAAATACTATTAAAAAAAATATATATGATTGTATCCAAATTCATGTGATGAGATGAACATCAGTCATATAGTCTAATGATTGTTGTGTCATACTGTTAGAACTCAAGTCCAAGGGAGAGCTCAACCCAAAAGACCTGTTTGATAGGTGAGAGAGCCCCTAAGCTTAAGTACCACACTTGGAGGGTGTGACATCCCGATGTGGGATGCTAAGATTGCACCCCCCTTCAAGAGCCGACAAGCTTTCACTCTATCGACACTAACCTAATAGTAGCCCTTTCCCCCTTTGATCAGTTTCACTCACCTATTAGTTATTCGATACAGCACCCCCTCCCAAGGAGAGGACACTGCATCTTAATCTAACCTATAAATTGACATTTCTATAATCTAACTTTCAACGAGAGCACCAATATTAGAACTCACATCTAAAAGAGAGCCCAACCCAAAAGGCTAGCAAAATAAGTGGGAGAAACCTTAAGCTTAAGTACAAAACTTTAAGGGTGTGAGGTCCCCATGTGAGATTCTAACACATACATCATGTTTCAGTCAAAATAATGGAAGTCAAATAATGGAAGTAAGTTGAATATGATAAAAAAAGAACAGGGGATTTTAGTTGAGTTATTGTTTCGATAGTGAATTAATAAACTACAAATCAATCTTTCTCATGGTGCACAGGTGCATGCCCTGCTAACCCATGGAAGAAACAGGCACAAATTTGACAGTTTTTCATGAACTCCGATATGCTGTTTCAAGAAGGAAGGTATTGAAACATAAATCATCAAGGAAGCATAGTTGAAATTTTTTTATGATAGATACTGTAAGTTAATGTGATACAAGTAAAGAGAATCACTAACCTTAGTCGTCTAAGTCTGACAAAGTCGTAACATCCTTTTGAGCTGTTGGTAGCTGAGAAAAAAGAAAACGTTTCGCCAATAAAAGGCAAACCCAGGCGTCCAGGGATGTAACTGTTCTCAGTCCTTGTGACCCTTCTCCAAGCTATTGACAAACAAAGTGTTATAGTTATAGAAAACACTGCAACTATGATAACATCATAATAGTTATGTACGAGGAAGAGCAGTTCTTCCATTGATAGATTCATCATCTTTAAGTTTCTTCAAACTATCCACTACCTGAAGGGTGAGATTATGGTTAAGTTGGTACATCTTTATAATATAGGTAGAAGACGAGCTTTGAATGAGACAAAATTCTTCTTATGGAACATTGATAATTAAATAGGGAGCATCTTTTTGGCGAATGCCTAGGCTTATATAAACAAAGATCCCTTGCAGTAAAAGACAACCTATTAAGTTAATCTTTAATGTGGTGCATTGTTTCAAAATTTGATAGAGTAATGATAGGTATACAATCCAATCTCATAATTTTCCCTCACAATTTTTAATATGGTCAGATATGTAGCCATATAATGGCTTGTGGTTTCAATTAAACCTACTAAACTTTTCAAAAATTTCAAAAAAGTATTAATAGTATATAGATTTTACAATTTTAATCCCACTTAACTTCCGTTGACCCTACAAAATAAATTATTAATTAATACTTTTTAAAATTTTCTCATTTCTTTATTTCCTCTCTTTTGCTCTCATATTATATATATATATATATTTTTTTTTGGATAATCAAGAAAGACTACTCCTTTGGATTACAAGGTAAGAGGATACTAATTTTATTTTTATTTTTTTATTTAAAATTAATTATTTTCTTTTAACTTTCTTAATTGATGAAAGATCATGAGTTATGAGTTTAATAAATGAGTTTGAAATAATTCATAGATTTTGATGTGAGTTTTGATTTAATCTTGTTTATGTTAAAGTATGAGTTAATTAACTGCTGTTTTAAGTTGAGTTTGATAAATTGTGGTTAGTTATTGAGTTAATTTTGAATATGGTTTAAAGAATTGACGAAACTCTAAGTTGTAGAGATTTGAAGATTTGGTTTATTTTTGATATATTGGTTATTTGCTTGATATTTAGAGTTAGATTTGATGAGTTTTTATATGTTTATGAGTTGAATTTTATTGGGTTAGTAGAAATTGTTTGAAAAACCTAAGTTATGAGTTGAATTTTGATAAATTTGTGTTGTTTTTGAATTGTAATTGCAAATAAATTATATTTCTCATAATAACAATTTTTTTTTTTTTTTTTTTTAGTTATGGACAAGTTTTTGATCAAAAGAAAATTTTCTTATGAGAAACCATCAATTGAACAAAACATAAAGCGTCACGATAATGTTCACAATAAGCCTATGAAATCTAGTTCAAAACAAACATATGTTAAGCTTAACTTGAGTAGTCTTCCTGCAGATCTTGGATTGATGATTAAAATTTTAAAATATCATCCTAATGATAGAGACAAAGTGAGAAAGACATATTTGCAAAAAAGGACCTTGTCAACAACACAATCATAATTTTAAAAAGCGAGCAATTGAGAATTTAATGCATCGTTTTAATCCCATTTGGTTTAGAGAATATGCAAATGGGTTGGAGTATAGTGTAGAAAATGAGGGTGTTTTTGTTTGTGTTATTATCTTTTTAGATATGAAATTAGCATTGATATTATATGTTGCAACGGCAAGTGTTAAAAGAACATTTTTTGCGATGAAGATTGTGAAGAATCGACTACGGAATCGAATGGGAGATCAATTGTTAAATGATTGTCTTATTACATATATTGAGAGAGAGATATTTGATGGAATTGTCAATCAAGTAATTATGCAACGTTTTCAAAATATGAAAAATCATCGAGGACAATTGTAGAATTGATAATTTGGTATATATAACTTTTAAAAGTACATTTTTTATACTTATTACTTTAGTATATATTTTATTTTAAATTTATCAACTTTGATATTTTGAACCCACTGACTCAGAATCCTAGCTACGTCCTTGGATGTAGTAGTTCGTCATTAGTCAATTCATAAAATGGGTCCTGTCTGCTTGTATGAGTTCCATCTGTCTATTTGCGAGCTGACTAAAGACAAACTGTCATGTTAGAATTATGAGATTAGGTCGTGGACTAGCATTATTGAAATAGTGAGATATAATCTGATATGATGTTTCAATCTTAATAACAATAATGGTGATGCAGGTCGACTAGATATTCAAAAATATATTGGCCAAGCTGGATGCCTCGATTTGTGAATTTGAGAACAAGTTGTCTAAATGCTTTGTTTCTAAACGCATGCATGTGGAAGGAAGAACCCACTTTAAAAGTAAAAGGTAATTGAGATAATGTGGTCTATGTTGTATTTCCATCATTGGAAAAGAATTGAGTGATCAATTAAGATATACACTAGCTGTTGAAATAGTATTTAGTTACAGGAGAGCTCACCGAACTCAAGATGATTCATTTTAGTGTAAATGAAGGCTAAAAAGGCATATATGTTGGGGTGGTCTGGCCAGTCATGATTATTGCAGATGCATGCTGTGCTCAAACTGTGCATTATTGCGAAAAGGAGGCCCGTTTCTTATGCAATGCATGTGTTTTGTTGCAGAATGAGATATTTAGGTGATTCATAGTGAGGTCAAACAGTTACGGCTCATTATGTTTCATGCTTGGGTCATTGTGTGATATTTTCACATGCCTAGTTGCAAATTAAAGCGATGGGAAAGAACACAAACTGAGGGCTTTCCATGAGAGGAAATCGATGAAATATGAAGTTTGTCTATGAGAGTACTAATTAATCACCATTGAGATTGTTACTGGGCAGTCATGCAGAGTTACTAACATCACAGTTAAAGTTCACAACATTTGGCTGCAGTGAACCCAAAAAGTTTCAACCAAACTGTTCTGGCTTAATGCGACATGACGCCTCCGTTGTCAACCTACTAACATCAAAGATTTTACATGATATTGCATTGCTTTGAACCGAGAAAATGTGGAAGGGTTTCTGAGATTATAACAGTTTCATCTTTAAGGGCCTATGAAGTTACAAGTTTTTGTTTGAGCTGGGTGTTTTGCGGGCCTGATGAGTTGTCCATAAAGAGGTGTGGATCCAGTCCCGTCTGAGGCCATGGCACACAGGTACATGAGTTTACTGAACGATTTCTGCCAAGTGCTTCATTAATAGAAGATTAGGAGTTATGTCTTTGGATAAAAATATTCAAAACTGTAATAATCTAGAAATATTCTGGAGAAGCTACCATATTTCACAATCCAGAGCCTAACTTAAAGAAGCCAAATTTGACGTTAACGGTTGCCCCTGCACCTTTCTATTACTCCTCTTGATCCTGTTTATTTTTCTACATATCAATAAAAGAAGGGCTTAAGGGATAAAAGACCATGGACTTACTGTTCATTGTAGTGTATTTTATTATTATTTTTCCTTTTAGACTTTACTCTTTCACATGTTTGGGACCATATGCTATAGTCCCAAAAGGAGGCTCTTTTAATAGGAAATTTACAAGACAAACACATATTCGTGAACCAATTTTCAAGGTCTATGCAATCTCTTTTATTTTTTAAGAACCAAATAGGGAAAAAAATGGATCCAATTGCAATGAACTTGTGTGGTGAGAAGTAGATGAATATACCCTTTTGCTTTTGGTCCACTTCATGCCTAAACCCTAAAATTAAGGTTGATCTGAGTATCCACGTCTCCCTCGTTTTTTTTGCCTTTTTATTTTTTTATTTTTTATTCGTTTGGTTTCGTTTTGTAATTGGTGATGCTCTGTGGACTCGGATGCTAATGGTAGATGATGCTGACTCGAGTTTGACCTAGGTTTCTTTTGTTCGGAGTAGGATTCCTTTATCATCTACAGAATGACCAAAAAAACCTTTACACAGTTTAATTGCTACCAACAGCAGTTCATTTTTTTGGAAACCCATAATGGTTTTTAGTAATTCTTCTTGTCCAATTTGTGTTAAGTATCACGAGTACCCTTTTGCGAAAAAACATTCATGATTTACATCTTTCTTCACAAAGAGAGAAAAACAAAAAGCATTCTTGGAACACTATCAATTATCAATTATCAAATATCTCAAGTTCTCAAACACAAAACCCAACACCAAAAATGGCGACACCTTCATTTGAAAATAAACTGGCCACAGCGAAGACAATCTTAACTACTGCAGCTTCTGTTGCTGGTACAGTCATGCTAGCTCGATCACTGTTCCAAGATTTCTTGCCCAATGATATCCAACACTACTTATTTTCCCGCTTTTGCAAAATGTTCAACACTCGCTTCTCCCATATCACCATAGTCATTGACGAACTGGATGGGTTAGCTAAAAACCAAATCTACGAGGCTGCCAGTATATACTTGGGCTCCAAACTCGCTCCTTCAGCTAGCAGACTCAAACTGAGCAAGCCTGAGAAAGAACACAATATTAAACTGACCACGGAAAGCCATGAAGAAATGGTCGATATGTTTAATGGAGTTAAACTGAAGAGGGTTTTAGTTTGTAAAGAATTTGAACCCTGGAGGTTGAATAACTCTCGTGATATGACCCTCGGTACTCGATCAGAGGCAAGGGCTTTGGAGCTTACTTTCCGTAAGAAAGACAAAGACGTCGTCTTTGACTCATACTTGCCTTATATTGAGAGAGAAGCAGAGAGAATCCCACAAGCAGGGGCGGATCCAACCCACTTTTGGCCCACCTTTAAATTTTTTTTTTAAATATTAATATATATAATTTTTAGATTTTAACTCACTTTAACAAAAATATTAATTGATAAAAATATTAATATGTAATTAGTTTTTATTTTGGTTCATCCTAAAAAAATTTTCTGGATCCACCACTGACTACAAGAGACAAAGAAACTAAAGATCTTTACTGTTGATCACAAAAATCTTTATGGGTACTGGGCTGATGCATGGGTGTCAGTGAACCTCGATCATCCTGCAACATTTGATACAATTGCCATGGACCCAGTGGAGAAGGACAACATGTTGAAGGATCTTCAAAGGTTTGTGGAGAGGAAAGATTACTATAGAAAGTAGGTAAAGTTAGGAAAAGAGGGTATTTGTTACATGGACCACCGGGTACAGGCAAATCCAGCTTGATCGCAGCAATGGCCAATTTTCTTAACTTTGATGTTTATGATTTAGAGTTGGGTACGTTGAGGTGCAACGCGGAGCTTAAAACATTGCTTCTTTCAATTGGGAATCGATCCATGATCGTGGTGGAGGACAGAGATTGTACAATTCACTTGCAAAATCGGTCACAAAGAGGTGAGGTTAGACTGTTGCGTTAAACCCAGTTTAGTTTAATTTGTAAGATAATCTAACTCATAGAGAGGATAATTCATACGACGAATTTAAGTGTAGATCCAATCGAAATTGAGTTGAGGTCTTAGACTGTAATCAGTTTATCTTATCTATTAGTCTGTTCGGCTCAACTAGATTTTTGATCTATGCAGAGGTTAAGTTCTATGAACTCAGCCGCATAATGGTGTGTAATTAGAAGTATGCATGTGTACGTCAAAGGGATTGAAAGAATTGGAACCGAGTGAACTGACCACGAGTATTTAATGGTTAATAATTTGTGTACGTAATGAAACTGATTTGTGTACAGAAAAACAAAAGTTTTGGTTAATCATGTGTGATAATATATTAGCACATGAAAAAGATAAAGAGCAATTGAGGCTGACAGGATTCAGTAGTAGTAGAATAATGTAGGTGTGGAGTTATGTCATATCATGTACTGAGCGTCAGCTGTGTAAATGGGCAAAAAGATGTACATTTTCCGGCTGTTCAATATGAATGATTGAAATGAGCCATACTAGTTTTATAAAGACATAAAAAGGGTATATAAAGACAATCTTCACCCTTAATTTTTATAATTTCTCTCTCTCTCTCTCTATCTTTTCTTTGTTTTTTTTTTCTGGATGATGTTACTTTATAACCCTCTTTGTATGGGTCTTTATGAAGACATTATTTTTCTATTGAATTATACCCTAAAGCTGAAAATTGTGGTCAATATTTCTCGCTTCTCATATCCTAGACATACGTACAGTGCTCTATCTCTATCGATAGACAATAATTTACCAACATGAGGACATGGAGCTCAATTTTACAACAATTGGACTGTTAAGCTATATTCATCATCATGTAAGAATAATCTAGTAATAATGGAGAGAGAAATAATTAGAAATAACCCCATCGGGTGGGCTTGGCTGTTAACAAAATTTGCTCCATCATTGACTTCTTGGGATTAAATCACTTTGAGATTACCTATCACATTTGTGAATTATTTTAAAATATTGAATTAGAACATTAGGTTTATAAAGTATTTAATGGGCCACGAAGATTAGTCGAGAGATGCATGGAAGCTGGCTGGACACTCCGGTCATAAAAAAAAAAAAATGAAATAATTAGAAATTTAATTGGATAATTCTATTTAAGGACTTTCAAATGCAAACGCACATGGATTTAATGACGTAATGGGGGTTATGTAACATAGTGTATCCACAACAGTGTGATGACAGCATACTCATCACTTTCGCTATTTGGTTTTCTATATTTTGTAGACAACACATACATATTATTACTTTATTAAGTATGTGGGCTTGGGTCCCTATCTTTCCTCTCATTTCTCACTTGACTCATTTCTCGCTTTCTCCTATGTGTTTTTCGTTTTGGTTGTTGCGATTATAATTTATTATTATATCATCGTACAATGATAACCCCAAAATTCAGATAAATAATTAAACCCTTCTGACATTACAATTTTTTTTGTTTTTTTTAAGGTAATTGAGGTATTCAAGCTCGTATTAAAGTTTGTCTACTCCTCAGAGTCACGAGACACCTTACAAGTCTAATGAACCAAGATAATTACATAAATGTAATATGTACCTCTCCTACGACTTGAACACTAGACCCTTTGGATGTAACTAACCCTAGTAACTAAAAAGTTTGTCATCCGACTACAACAGGAAAGGTTTTGAACATTACATTTTGACTCCTATCTTTTGTGAAATAAATTTGTTACCCTTTATTGATGCAAGAATTACACCCATTAGAGTTATCCGATTGACCTTGGTGGAATCGGAACGGATGTGCGCGTGATTAAAGATAATCAGCAAAGTAATTAATGTAAATGCAGAAAAAGTAAAGAACATAATCGATTTTAAAGTGGTTCAGCAAGTTTAATCTTAAGCCTACATCCACTGTATCTCGTATTGCTTAGAGAGCTTACAAGAAATGATAATAATGCTTAGAACAATTTGCTAACCTCTCTTCCATCATTGAAAAAGGTTTATATACAGGTTTTTTACAAAGGTAAGAGCGAAATTAAAGGAATTACAATCAAGATGAAAGTGCAACTTCGATATTCTTGCAATTGAGCTCTAAGATCGCGCTATCATTGCTGTTGATCTGATCTCTTCTGAAATATATGGGATTTGAGCTTATCTGTAAGTTGTCGAACAACTGTCAGGATTGGTCACGACTAGCTTATGCTAGGTTGGACAAGTCTTGAGTTGAACTGATTCTAGGTCGAGCTATAACCTCGCAGAAATCTAACTTCTCCAAGCTTAATGGAAAAATCACACACAAAATCTGACCCCTAGAGGTGCTCGTTTCGAGCTTCAAAGACTAATTGCTCGATTTGATATTAAGCTCGAACTTCACAGGTTGTATGTTGAATGCAGATTTGGCTGAGCTTTATGAGTCGAAATTACTTTAGTCGACGTGAACAAGACTTAAGCCTTTTTTTTGGCTGTGATATTCACGCTAAAACTGGAATTTGAAAAGAGGGGCATGCGAGTAGTTTCCACACAGTTGTGTCACATTAAATGCAGTTGGTTTTTGTAGTTACTTTTCGTCGCGCGTGGGCGACTACAACTGTCCACATGCGAAGTTGAGGTGACCTGTGACAACGGTTATGATTGCAGAATTCTGACGGTTGATCACCCTTTGTGGATGATCGACACGTGGCCACGTCGAGCGGTCAAGATTGCTCGACCAATGGAGGGCTGAGATTCATCACAGATCAATGGTCGGGGTTTAATATTGCCCCTTCGTCTCCCATGCTCACCATTATAAAAGTGGGCATCCTTCACCAGAATTCACACTTGCAATATTTCTTTACTTCGTCATTGCTCTCTCGAACTTACGGCAACTTTCCAGTGAACCCTACCGCGTTTTACACTTTGGTAAGACTCTTATCTTCACCTTTCTTTATTTCAAGTTTTCTTCGCTATTGAGGGTGGCCATTGTCGTGGCCACATTAGTTTTTTTAGGTTTTCTTGAGTAGTCGCATTGGTTTGCGTTTTAGAAAGGTATAAGGAGGTGACCGTCGGAATCCTGATAGCTCGCTTATATCTTTTGATCGATGCGACCTATCCTGGATGCCTGAACTGAAAGCAAAGTGTGGATAAGTCGCCGAAATTTGAGCTTTGACGTTTGGTCGCTTTTGTTTCAGGTATCTAAAGGTGCGCTTCCACCATGTCTTCATCCAGCAACCAAAGCATAGATCGACTCTTTGATTCCCCGACAACTTTGATTGTTCGCGAGGAAGAAGTCCCAGAAGTCTCCCAGGACTTCGTTGTAAGGTGCTTGGACAGTGACGCTGCGAGCTCCTCGGACCACGCTTCTGCTGAGACTCCCCCGAGAAGGAGATCACTATTTCCCCAGCTTAGGAAGGAACCAAGTTCCTCGATCAGGGCCGATGACCTTGAGTGCTTGAAAGATATTTATGCGACTTGGCTTCCGTTGAGGGCTCCAGGAAATATTTCCCAGAAAAATCCCCTCGCTGGTTGGGTGGCAATTTCAGATACCCTTTTGAGGTGTGGGATGTCCATTCCCCAGCCTCCCCCCCATTATTTTATTGTCAACGTACTGGATAGGTTCGACATTGTTCCCCTCCAATTGAGAGGGAATTCGTACATAATTATTGTAAGTATGTACATAGCGTATCAGATAGCCAAATTAGGCGAGCTATCGGTGGACGAGCTTATCCATATGTATAGGTTAAAAAAGAGTAAAGACCAAATGTACTATCTCTCTAATGCAAAGAAAGTACATTTGAACAGTTTGGTTAGAGTCCCGAAGAAGATTACGAATTGGGACTCCTAATATTTCTTCTACAAGGCTGAGCAGATCGACACTTTGCCTCCAAAGCTACTAAGAACTCCAACCTTTGTGCGAACAAGGAAGCTTTTCTTGTTTGGCAAGCGAACTAACCCCATACTTCATTCGTTTTGTAGTAAACGTTAAGCAGAACTTCGTCTCTGAAGCGAGCTTAGCACGACTTTAATGGTTTACCAGTAATGGTTTAATGGTTTACAAAAACTTGATAGGCTATTCGCAAGTGTACGAAATCGCGCAAGTAATAAAGCTCGAGTAAATGAGTGTCGAATCCCAAGAGAACTACCTACCAAGTACCAAACTAGTCAATTTTGTTACTATTTGATGAAACAAAATTTTAAGAATGAATTTTATGAAAAAGATAACAAACTAAAAACTAAATAAAAGTAGAATTTTATAAATACTTTGGTATAAAGATCAATCTGACTAAACCTAGGGCACAAATTTCACACCAATTTAATCCTATGCATTAACAATTATTGCTAACCTAACTGAGCTTATTCTAAAGGCCAAATTCCCTGATATTCCACTAACTTTCTCTCGAACAATTAGCGAATTAACCCTTAAGCAACAACCCAAAATATCTCTAAGTTGGATTTAGGAGTTAAGAGATCATTAGGTTCTGTAGAATTTACCAGAGCCTCATAGATCGCGGTAACCTATCTCTAGCGTTCGCTCAATCTATGGTTTTATTACCTTAGACAAATCAGGTTTTATCTCTCGATCTCAACCCAACCCATGATATCATTCAACCCTTGGATCCTTAAGAATTGAAAGCATTACATACAATAATAAAACTTAGAATTAATGCTCAATTAAAAATCAACAACAATAACGTCAACACATATTCATAAATTGGGCTACATCTTTAGCCCTAGAAAAGAGATTTAGTTCATAATTGTAATAATAAA